GGTCCTGTGCCTCCACTTTTCTGGGAACCGGTCCCTGAGCTGGCAGGGTCCTTGCTTGTACTGAGTTAGGTGGGAATATTTTGTCATGTGTCTGAAAAACCCACTCTTGTTTCTGTCCCTTTGGTTTAGGCGAGAGAATCCTGGGCTACGCGGAGGAGCCTTGCTACCTGTGGTTCGTCATGGAGTTCTGCGAAGGGGGAGACCTCAACCAGTACGTGCTGTCCCGCCGACCCGACCCGGCGACCAACAAGAGCTTCATGCTGCAGCTGACCAGCGCCATCGCTTTCCTGCACAAGAACCACATCGTTCACCGGGACCTGAAACCGGACAACATCCTGATCACCGAGAAGTCTGGCACCCCGGTTCTCAAGGTGGCTGACTTTGGGCTCAGCAAGGTCTGCGCTGGCCTGACTGCTCGGGGCAAGGAGGGGGGGCACAAGAACAAAAATGTGAATGTGAACAAGTACTGGCTGTCTTCGGCTTGCGGCTCTGATTTCTACATGGCGCCCGAGGTTTGGGAAGGACACTACACCGCCAAGGCTGACATCTTCGCCCTTGGCATCATCATCTGGGCCATGATTGAGAGGATAACTTTCATCGACACGGAGACCAAGAAGGAGCTGCTGGGGACCTACATCAAGCAGGGGACCGAGATTGTGCCTGTTGGGGAAGCGCTGCTAGAAAACCCAAAGATGGAGCTGCACATCCCTCAGAAACGCAGAACTTCCATGTCTGAGGGGATCAAGCAGCTCTTGAAAGACATGTTGGCTGCTAACCCGCAGGATCGACCTGATGCCTTTGAGCTTGAAACCAGAATGGACCAGGTTACATGTGCTGCTTAAATTCCAGGCTGTGCTTTGCAGCTGGGTAAGTGATGGGCAGTTTTTGTATTATTCTGTCTGCTGTTTCAGCCCGATAATGTACTTTGTAGAGACACAAAGGAGTCATTTGTCTTCCCAGAGCTGTTTCTAAAGTGACTCATCAGAGCACTGAGTTTTTTTTCCACCTATTCTACTGCAAAAATAAAGTAGAGGTGGGAAACAGAATTAGCAGCTGCATGTCACACTGCTGCCCAAAGGCCTAGCAGAGCTGGGCAGGCACCCTGCTCCTCAGAGGTCCTGGCCAGGGGTGGGGAAGGGCTGCTGCATGGCAGGGAAACTCCTGAGCACCCTCTGACATCAGCTTTGGGTACGTCCATCTCTCCCAGGGGCAGGGAAGGAGCTGCCAGTTCTGCCTCCTCTGCTGCGTGATAATTTCTGGAGTCTGTGCTGGGAGCACCTCGCTGTCTAGCACAGTCCCCTTCCCATCTGAGACCCGGACAGGACAGCTCGGGGCTCGGTGAGCGCGTCCCTCTCAGCCCAGACAAAACTGTTTCCTTTGCTCTCACCTACGAGGCATGTGGGTCCATCTCGTTTTGTTTCCTTGCTAAAGGCAGGACTTCCCTTTGGTGTGAACTGCAGTTGCCCAAACCCAGTGGGATGCTTTGCTCTCCAGCATCTGAGTTTGCAGACCTGCATCTGCGCAGGACAGAGCTTCCACAAGCTGTGCTCCCCCCCAGCTTGGCTCCTAAATAGTCCCAAGCTCCAGGGTCCCGGTCCTGAGCCCTGGGTGGTCACACGGGGTCTGGAAGGACCCCCAGGGACATGGGGCAGCTGGCAGTGTCACTAGCAGGTGACACCGCAGGGCTGGGAGGTGGTGTCGGTAAACAGAGCTGTTACCAGGGGTTCTCCCAGCTGAGCACTGCGATGGAGCTGAGGAATTACAGATGAGAAGGGGCTGACGTCTCCCCAGCCCAGGTCCTCCTCCAGCTCCAGCAGAGCTGCCTGACCGCGGCTGGGCACAGGAGCCCTCTGACACCCACCCACGCCAGGTCCTGCCATCGCCCCTTGGGCTCCCCAGCCCCTCCCTCACCCCGAAACCCCACGATCCTGCTGGACTGGAGGAGACCAGCGATGCCAGGGAGCAGAGAGGGACGAGATGGCTGCCGTAGCCAGCGCACCCCCAGCCTTGCAGGTCCATGGACCTGAGAGCAAGGCTCCGGCAGCAGGGCGGTGGGGAAGGTGGGGGCATTTTGGCAGGTTTTGCTGAAAAACCTCCTTGCTGCCTGCCTGAGGCTTCCTGGGCTTACGTAAAGTGATGTGCTGCCCGTCCCCGCTCCGCGTGCGTGCCCCGGTGAACTTTGTGCTGTTTGCAGAGCAACAGGAATACAGAAGCGGAGAGGCTCATCGGGCAGGACTAGTTCTGTCACTGCTGGTTTGTCCAAACTGCTCCACAAACCATCCCCTCTGCACCCCTGCACAAAATGTTTAATGCCCTAAAGATCTCCAGCACGGGTAATTGATGCGACTGGACTGCCTGGGGCTTGTTACTGGTCCCAGTCAAGTGTGGGCTGGGGATTAGGGTGGGGGAGTGAATCTCCAGAAATGTGAGCCCTGAAGATGGGTGTGATAAAGTCCTGGGGGGCAAGAGCAGGGCACCCCACCTCGAGCCGCAGGGCGAGGCGTGGGTCTCCCCCGGCTGCCAGGAGCTGCGTGGCGGAGGCTCGGGGTTTGCTGCTGCCATCTGCCTCCTCTCCATGGCTCCGTGCTGACATGATGCTGCCGAGTTATGCAACCAGCCCCGTGTGCCCTGCGGGGAAAATTCATCCTGTGCACATCCGCGGAACAGTACAGGCAGGGATAACAAACACCGAGGGGACAGTCCTACCCCACGGCTGTTTGCTTAAAACCCAGCTGCACCCCCCCACCTCCATCCCTGAGTCTGCACCGACTGTCGGTGACGCAGCTGCAGCAGCGATGGATGCGCTTATATAACAGCCCGGCATACGTGGCGTGGCTGCTTGGCCCAGATAAGAGCCCGGCGCCGGCCATATGTTCCCTGCAAACCCGGAGCATTGCGCTGTGGGGCAGGGAGCGTTCCTCTGGCCGGGTTATGGGGCAGCAGGGTCTCTGGTGTGCTTTCCTGTAGGGGTTTCTAGGGTGTTGTGTATTTGTGCATTGAAACTGGCCTGCCTCTGGCTGTTATTAAATGCAAATCTTGAATCGGAAACCCACTTGAGAAGCTTAAAGTGGGATTTAGAATCTGAATTCTGCTCTCAGGTAATTTAAGTTGACCGAGAAACTCAAGTAACCTCTTGTAACTGCGTTGTGGCACTGGTGTGTGCTGCTGGGTCACGCAGAGAGTTCCTCTGCCCTAGGACAGCGTCAGACCCTGCTCAGCCTTGGTTTGTGTCTTAACCTGGAAAACTGTAACCCTCCCTGACCCTGGCAATCCGATTCTTGCTCATTCTTTGGTCTGCCGCTGACCTGTTCCCATTTGGCTTCACATCCCAGCAGCTCTGCCTCTGTTTCTGCTGCGGATGCTGCAGGCACCTGCCCGGCAGCTGCCGTCATGCTCTGATACCCCTCCAGAACGCAGACCTGAAATGTCAGTTCTCAGCCAGGAAGCATCAGGGGTGGCGATGAGCTGCCTCTCTCCCTGCTCCTGGCCCTGGGTCTGGCAGAGGTCAGCAGCATTTCCCTGGGCAGAATGAGGGTCTCCTCGTCCTTATTTGACCACTGATTCCCCACCTTCTGCAGAGAGTTTATCTAAGCCCAGGTCACTGTTCCCAGAAGCATACCTTTGGGCAAAGAGGACAGAAGCCTTTCTGGTACAACTGGGGACTGGCTGGACTGTGCTGGGCACCTGCTGATCGCCGTGTGATGGCCCGGCACTGACAGCAGGCTGGGGCCACTCTCCTCTCTCCTCCTTTCCTCCAACATCTTCTTTGCAGGTCTTGTTGCTGCCCCTTGAGTTCCCCAGGGTGGGCAAGGGGCTTCCCGTGGACACTGCTGCAGTGGGACCCTCTAACGTGGGTTTGTGCAGCGTGGATTGAACGCTTCTCAGACCAATTGTTGAGGAGCGAGGTGCAGCGAGAGCACGTGGCTGTTCACTGGAGTGGCACCGGTGGGCTGGGCTGCAGAAACGAGGGGAGCAAGTGGCAGCATCACCCCCACCTACAGCTGTGCATTTAAGAACCTTTGTGGTTTTAATTCATATAGGACATCAAACAGCAGTGGTTGTGCTCGGTGTAGAAGGCTGCTTGTTCTGGTAGATCGTATTCTGTGATGTTTTCACTGTGGATAAAGCTGGTCTGATGCTGGGCTGGATGCTCCAGGTGAACAGCAGGAACCTGTGCCTGCAGAGTGGAGCAGACCGCAGCATCCCGAAGGTGTCTGACAGCCCAGGCCAGCCTGGCTCACCCCAGCCCTCCTCCTCCTCCTCTGTTGCTGGTTTTGATCATTCCAGCTTCAGCTGGAAGTCACTGTTGGCATTTGCATTGTTCCCCTCTTTGCATTTTCAAAATGCAGCAGGAGCCGATGCTGAGCCGGCTTGTCCGCTCTCCCTGTGCCCAGCCGCTCCTGAGCACCGCTAATCAGCTGCTGTCCTGCGGAATTCCAGAGCTGGAGGTCGGAGATGGTGAGCTGCCAGCGAGCGGGGCCGCTGCATCAGGTTAGCTCTGGTCTGTTAGCACCGCTCCCGTCCCCTGCGGTGAAGGTGCCCTGACCCTGCTGGATGGGACCAGGTGAGCACATCAAGGAAACGGATGGCAGTTTAATTTCTGAGATAATGCTGGCTTTGGCTGCAGGCTGTTTTTAGTGTGGCTTGTGAGTTTTGGCACAGTCGAAACAAGCAGTAAGAAGCAAGGTCAGGTCCTGCTCTTGGCCACAGCAGCAGGTGCAGCGTCGCAGGGTCACCCCAAGAGTGGTGACATCCTTCCAGGCAGCGGCCATTCTACCTGGAGAGGAGCAGGGCCCTGAGGATGAGCTGGATCACGTCACCTCTGGACGGATGTGTTGGTGATTGCGTTTTCTCACCGTCCCTCCTGCTCTCCCTCCTCGGGGAGGTGGCTGCAGTTGGGTTTCAGGGAGCTCCCGAGGAGTGCGTCACGAATGCACGCACAGAGCGTGAGGGAGAGCTCAGGGGATGAACCAGCCTCTCCTACCCCACGTTCCCATGCAGGGGCAGATAATGGGATTAACACAAGAAGGTGCTGGGTTCTCTGCGACCACGCAGACCACATCGTCACCTCCCATCCGTGCTGTGACCCGTGCACCGTGTCACCCTCCGTAGGGGCTGGCTGCGGGCTCCGCGGGCTGCCGGTTATATTCTGCTGATGCCGAATGAATGTTCGAGCTGATTAAAACTATAAGTGGCGCCAGCAGAGGGATTAAAAGCTCTTGAACAAGCCCCTGAACCAACGTGCGTCAATGGAGCGAGCTCTCCGGTCTCAGAGCCGCGAGCTCAGGGCTGCTCGTCCTTCCCTGTAAACGCTCCTGCTCCGGGGAGGCGCAAACAGTGGCGCTGCCCGACTTGCTGATGAAGCTGCGCCCCAGGAGAAATCTTCCAGAAGATTCCTGGCGCGATTGCTCCTGACCTGGTGCCCGGGTGCGTCTCGCGAGCCAGCCTTCTCGAACAGAACGGCTTTTTTCTGATCACTGCCTGCAAAGGCAGCGTCTCCCAGTTAACCTCTCCGGGAAAGCAGCGTGCCCGTGGCGCTGGCTCCTGCCTTCAGAGACCTTCCTCGGGCACGGATTTCTTTAACGAGATTTCCTGGGGCTGAAGGGTTTGAGTGATGTTTTTTCCGCCGGGCTCTCCTGCTGCCCTGTTGCTTGGTGTCTCTGCAGATCCCCTTGCTTGTTCCCGGGGGATGGGACCTGCCCGTACCCCCCAGCGTGTATCTGCCCCTGCTGAAGGGGGGGGACCTAAATCCACCAACACCCCCTTGATTTTTTTTTTCCATGTAACTAGGCTCAGAACTTAAGCTTGGGGGAAAATGTAGATTGCTAGAAAATGACCACCT